AAAGGCCCAAGGAATGAAGCCGTGAGACCGACATCCTGTGATGGAAGTAAGGCCTCCTTTGCAAGCTGGGGTCTGTCCAAAGCCCAAGGAGTAAGATGTGATCCCTGAGGCAGATGGAACCCTCCTTGGAGCGCACACTTCACAAAAAGTCTCTCAAGAGAGGGCAGTTCTGGGGCCCTAATAAAGTTGGCCATACTCTCTGCGCGCACATAAAGGATTGAGACCCAGAAAAGCAGAGTGTATGTGAAACACCGAGGTCCGAGAGTGTAACTAAGATGACAAAAAAGACATAATAGGGATAAAGGGAGAAGAGCAATTGCCAGCCCCCCACCCCCACCCCATTATAGAAGAACCCAAACAGGTGTTAGAGAATGAGACACAAAGGGGCAAGGTGAATACAATGGCCAGGCAGTCCTGCCAAGGGAACACTCACTCAAAAGGAGAGAGGAAATCAGAGGGAAGGATGTAAGATGAACTCAGTCCAAGAGAAAACACTTAGTGAAGAAAAGGTAATTTTCCTTTAATGTGTTCTGTTATTATAATACGGTTTATAAGAACACAAAATTCAACCAGGTAAACCAGGAGGCTTGAAGATGCTCCCAAGGACCTGATGGCCCTAGGAAATGGAATGAAGGTTGAGAAAATGAGATGCGGAGGACAGTGAGCATCTGACCCGAAGACAGCTGGGGTCTGGAGGGGAGAACCAAACAAATGCAACAGACGATTCTTTTCACAAAAGAATGAAAATGAAGTGCACCTGTTGTAGGGAAACTTGATTCAGAATAACCAGCACTGAGATGGACAGTGCTTAAAGAGCAGTTTTCTGGGACCAAAGAAGGCCTCATGTACCATGGGCCAAAGGATTCCTCTTTCAAATGGTCAACTGTTTGGCCAGCCTGTGATTTCTCCACAATTAAAGCCAATTCCCAATGGAAAAAAGATGGGTTAATGCAGTATCGATGGCTTCTAAGGCAAGAAGTGACCCCAGTTTATAAACATGAATGGGGGATTCCGAAGACAGCTTCCTGACCCCATCTGCAATGGCATCCATCCAACTGAGAGCCATGCCACAGGAAGGGACTTCAGGAGTGGCACAGGAAGGCCAGCCGTCAGTGCTAGCCTGGACACACTGGAAAGATGAGTTCAGTCTCAGTGCTCCTAGCTCTGAGGCTGTAGCTCACCAACACGGGCTGAGCAAGTGAGAGTGTCAGTTACCTGCCGGGCATAGGAAGCAATGAACAGACACCTTCTAAACAAAGATGCTGAGTCAAAATGCTTATCACTTCAGCCTCTCTCCCATAATTCCTTCTTTAAACCTCAGGGTCATTAAAAAGAAAAGAGAGGAAAGAGTCCCCCATGTGGTTGAGAGGCACCTGAATCTTGCTCGATTGTCCGTTTTCTACCTGCCTGTTAGCCTCCAGTCAAGCTGCTCGGATGCTTTGTAGAGAACATAGAGTCTGACCCCTTGGGTGAGTCCTAATAGCCCTCCTTTCCCATTCATTCTTCCTTCTCTCCCCTCCCTCTCCATGAACATGTGTACCCTTGCTTAGTAGGTTACTTCCTGATGATGGCAATTTCCACCATGTAACTCCTATGTTGTATATCATTGAACAAAAATCAATTAAATTATTGTGAAAAAAATGAGTTAAGCTAAAAATCATTACAATGCTAAAGGAGCAGGAATAAGTAAATACAAACTGTTCACTCTATAGGGAAGATACTGCCAAGAACTACTAACAGATGAAACAATCACAAAAACTTGATAGGTTTTACTCAAGAATTTGAACAACTGAATCTGTGTCAGAAAGAAAAAAAATTGAAGATAAAATTTTAAATATACTCAAATTGTGGAAAATGTTGAAAAAACATTTGATAAGGGTCAATTTAGCAATGTTATCTGTGTTTTTAACTTAAGTAGGAAAAAGCTGATCACTCATTGAAAGAGATGATCAGGCAATTAATTCTTTGAAAGTACTGTAATTGGTCAGAAAAAATATAAAAACCTATCAGTGTGTCCTGCAACTTCAAAACAAATGTCTCTTTTACATCAAACTTTTAATTTGGATTATTGTCTGCAGCTTGGTGAAACTGAGTCAGAGGCATTGGTATCTAGGAGGGGGAAGAAAGACTGATGCATTCTGGGAAGCCTCACTAGCCAAGGCTCGCAAAATAAAACGGTTTAAGTCATAATTCTAAGAGTTTGTACTGAGAATATAGTTAGGGGGATGTCCAAATAGATATAGTCAGTGGATTTACTCTAGAAAGAAAATGAGAAATAATACAAATGGCCAACAATAGCCCAAGGATTAATTTTGTGACATCCTTCTTATCAATCATAGTTAATGACACTGAAGAGACACAACACATCATAGTTTTCAAATAAACCACCTCCAAGGCAGGCACCCTTACCCAGAATAATTCCATCTGCATCAATATAATCTGTGTTTGTTACTCACCTATTTTTAGGCATAGTAATTAACCTTGAAGATCATATACTGGTGTTTAGAATTCATTGGTTTTCTTTTATTTCCTCTCAGTTTCTTTGCATTTTCTAAAATTATTATAAGAAATTATTTGCATATTCAAAGAAGAGAGGAAAATTTGTATGCTTCCCAAAGAAGGAAATTGGAATCTGTTTTAATGGAATGCCTTGAAAACTCATAAATCTGTAATTTGGGAGAGACTAGAGGGTTACTTAAAGAAGTAAAAATGAGAAAATGTCTAAAATTCAGAAAGTGAGACAGATGGGACCAGGGCCTATGAGACAGCTGTGACCCAGAGACCTAAGGCGGGGGGACACCCATGCAGGTGTGGGAGGTCCTCTAGGGGTGTGCTGCCCAAACCATTTCCAACTAGAGGCCCTGTGGGGAAAGGTCAGCAAGAGGCGCAGGCCAGTGTGCCCGCTCCTTGCTGAGGAAATGGGTGGCCCTTCCAGGGCCCTGGCCCCCACTGTGCAGCACATGTGTTAGAAGAGGAATGGTAGGCGGAATGAGGCTCAGCACACTCGTGGTGCACACGCAGCTGCTGCAAGCCCTCTTCTCCCTGACGCTCAGCTACCCAGAACCCGGGCCGGCCGTGCTGCGGCTCTGTGCCAGCTGCAGGGAGGAGAGAGAGAGAGAGAGAGAGAGCGCGCATGGGTGAGCAGGGCCGTGCCCTGCAGCTTGTTCCCCCTGATGGGCAGCGATGGGAACATCGCACTTGGCTAGATGTGGAACAGACGGTAGACTTTCCTACCATAATCCTGCAGTCTCCTCCATTCTCGTTTTTTGTTTAATTCAGAAATGACCAGCTGAACCTTTGCAGTGTATTTCAGTCTTTTGCCAACACAGGCACAGGCTGATGCCCTAGGCTCCCCTGGGATGGGGCTTTTCTAGCATAAGGAGGAACTCCTGAATAGCCAACAACAACAAAGCCTCACTGCCATCGAGTAAACGCCAACTCACAGCGACCCTGTAGGACAGGGCAGAATTGCCCCTTTGGCTTTCTGAGACTGACTCTTTAAGGGAGTAGAAAGCCCTGTCTTCCTCCTGTGGAGTACCTGGTGGTTTCAAACCGCTGACCTTTCCGGTTAGCATCCCAACACATAAACATCGAGTCATCAGGGCCCAACAATAGTGATGGATTAATTACACGTGCTATGGGCTTCTTGTCACTTGCATTTGCCAACGCTGAAGAGACACAACGTGGAGCCTGGTTTTAAAGCAAACCAACTCCAGACCCACCGCGATGGGCTTTCCCCTTCTCCTTCTGGCCTCAGTGGAGCGAGGGGCATGAGCTGGCCCATGGCTTTTGATGCGAGGTTGGGAGAGCCATGTGGGATAAGTTTCCCAGGGAATGGGCCATCCCCTGAACACTTGCCACTGTAACAGGTAAACAGTGAAATTTTAGTTACAGAACGTATTCAAAGCCACACACACACACTCACACACACACACAATGTCCTCTGGTTCCAACAGTATCAAGAGACATGCTCCCCACCCCTGCATGCCCCTCATGGCTCCCCATCTTCGCTAGATGTGGCTCTGTTGCTGGCTTTAGGAGCCAGCCAGGAGTCTGCACCGAGAGCCTTCTTTGTGCAGTTTGCTGGCCAGGTGGGGCCAGGACTCAGTGTGGTGACCACATCCAGTTGCAAGAGGCTGGGAAGACCTAGGTGGAGAGGAAAGAGTGTGGGGTCACCTGTGGGCATCACAGCTGCTGCAACCATACAGGGCAAAATAGGGAATCCAAGGGTGAGATGAAGCCCTGAAGCTGGGTGCCCAGAAGCCTCCAGTCTTGGACTCTAAGAGAATGAAACAAATAAAAGTGGGTGCTCCAGGGGTGGGGCATGGGGTCGTCCCAGGTTTGGTCTCCACCCACCATAGCCACCTTTATAGGGGTTCCCAGGCGGTCAACCTTTATAGGAACCTCATCTTTCTCTCACAGAGCAGCTGGTGGGTTTGAACACTGACCTTGTGGTTAGCTGTCAATGTTTAACCCACTGTGCCACCGGGGCTCCTTCTGGACATGGGAGGGGACAGTTGACCAGTGAGTACAAAGTTTTTGTTTTTGATAAAACCCACTGGCACACTGCTGGTATTGTGCATAATGTTTTCATTGAAACCCCAACACCCAGCCAGAGCACTCACTTTGAATCAAGTTTTAAGTTCTTATCACAGAGGAGAGTGGATTTGGACCGAGATCATTTGCAGTATCTCTGGTCTCTGCATTAGGGGGACACAGTATGAGTGCAGTCAAGGTAAGCCCTCCATCCCAGAGAGGCCTTTTCTAGAACTAACCATTAGTTAGCCTGTGTTGAATGTTATCACCAGGTCATTTTTGTTTGCACAGACGTGTCATTTGAGAAATGTGTAGATTGTGGTATAAAGGGTTCTTTCTTTCGATAAATGTGAGTTTTTGGAGGAGAAACTATTGGTGGGTTTCCATCGCCTCCCTTGAGTCTGTTTGGGGCCGGCCATCAGGAGATGCCTCATCGTCTGTGGTCTGTTTCCCCTCGTCCCCAGGAGGAAAGTGGAGATCATGCACACCTACAGTCTCTTCACTCTTCTCGGGGAAAGGCTGATGCTGCACACCAACACGGTCACCGTCACCACCTACAACACGCTCTATGAGGTAAACCAAGGCTTTCCGTACCTGGGGACTGCTTCATCTGGGTGCTTGGTGGCTTCACCCAAGAGCTGTTGAGAGCCAGAAACCGTCCACATACATACCAGGACCCCCCCAAAAGCTCATGGACAAAATGCCACTGTCTTTCCATTACAGTTCCTCATGAAGTGTTGGAGCACCCTGGTATAGAACACATCCCTTAGTCTTTTTAATTTACTTAAAAACTTGTCTGTGTCCAAAAAACCCAATCCATTGCCACTGAGCCATTGAGTGATTCTGACTCAGAGTCACCCAACAGGACGGAGTAGAAATGCAACAGTGGGTTTCTGAGACCGTAACTCTTTGCGGCACTAGAAGCCTCATCTTTGTTCTGTAGAAGTGGTTTTGAACAGGTAACCTTGTGGTGAGCAGCAGCCCAGCATGTAACCCCTTACACCACCAGGGTTCTCAGTATGAGGATGCATGCTTATGGCCCAGTCCCAATCCTTTGCCTGTCACGGTTGCCACCCTAAGGACTGCATGGCTCCATGGAATGCCATTTCTGTCAGAATTGGGGGGAAGGACCATTAGAATTTCCACTGATGTTTCTTGTGTGGGTTTTTTTGTTTTGTTTTTCTTCAGTTGTGCCCAGTTAATCCTCTGTCACATGGGGACATGGCATCCATCTCATCCAAATCAAAGGTTGTCACTTTACCCTCTCCCTCTTGGGCCACCTCCAGGCCCACATTCATTTCCAAAGGGGCCATCGTGTCACCATGGTTACATCCTGGCTGCCATCTGAGAGGCCAGTGGTTGGAACCCACCGGTCGTTCCAGTGCAGAAAGATGAAGCTGTCTACCCCCATCAAGATTTACAGTCTCAGGAATTCATGGGAGCAGTCCGACTGTGCCCTCAAGGGTAGCTGGGTTGGAATGGGCCGGTGGCAGTGGACTTGGTCCATTCTAATAGGTTAGGGTTCTGTAGTTCTAACTGGATTCCCACTCCTGGTACCGATTCCCGTTCTCATGACTGCTACAGCGAGTGGTTCTAGGTCTGCGTCTCTCCTATCCCCTACGATCACACTGTCCAGCCAACTTACAGTGGTATTCTCTACCTGGACAAACCCAGGCCGTGTCCTCACTGCACACACGTACGTGTGCCTCAGAGACATCAAGTCCATTCTGCAAGATGCACAACCGTTCTGTGTCGCCTTTCCCAAAGTATCCCACTTCCACAAACATCCATTCCGTTTATTTTGATGGACAGTAAACATTTTTCCACCCTCCTGTTCCTGATAACCTCTCCCTTTAGTTTCTCTAGATAAAAAAACTACAGCAATAGAACCAAACCCAATACCATCAAGTTGATTATGACTCAGCGACCCTACACAGGGTTTCTAAGACTGTCAATCTTTATGGGAGCAGACAGCCTCACCTTTCTCCTGCTCAGAAGGTCGTGGGTTTGAACCATCAACCTGTGATCTGCAACCCAATGCCTAACACCTAACCCACAGTGCCACCAGGAGTCCTTTTACTATCTCCTACATATCCGTATGTCACAGTCCCCTAGTGTCTCACTGATTTCACTCGGCACAATGGCCTCCAGGCTCCTCCATGTGGAGGCATTCTTTATGGCTGAGTGATTCTACATTGTGTGTCTGAGGGGGCTTCCAAACGTTTATGGACGGAGTAATTGAAAGATAATGGAATTTTCCTGTGAACTTAGAAGCCCCCCCCATATGTGCCATTCAGCTGTGCTTCAGCTGTGAATGCGAGGGCTGCTTCCACCCTTGGCCATGGTGAGCAGTGGCATGCCGGTGTGTCCAAGCCCATCCCAGCTCGTGGGTCTGGGGGAGAGGGATCGCTGGGTCACGCACGTACTGGGTGACTGCTTTGCACAATGACTAGCACATTTCAGTTGCATCAGCACCCGTGGAGATGGTTTGCTCCCCCTCGCCCTGATGGCACCAGTGAGAAGCCCTGGATACCGGGCACAGGAAGGCAAAACTTGCTGAGTCAAAACTCTTCCCAGGCGTAAGAATTCCGCCTCTCCTTTTGTGCGCCTACTTTGATTATGGCTGGTTATTTGTAGGGGGAAAAAAATCAGTTATTGATGAATCTTGGTTTTATGAATATTTTCTCCTGCCCCTGCTCCTACTATTTGAAATAGGGTCTTGGGCTCAGACTTTACTATATTTACCAATTTTCTCATTTTTAAATTAATGGTGATTTCTAAGCAAGGTAAGCATATGAAGGACGCACTTGACATGTAAATCCAAGGCTTCCTAGTTAGCGTGGCTGCTCTCACCGCAACCCCAGTTCTGACCACACCACGTAGCACTGGTGTGTGCAGCCCCGGTAGTGCTGTCAGGTAAATGTTGGACTGCTAACGGCAAGGTTGTCAGTTCAGACCCACCACCGAGAAAGATGAGGCTGTCTGCTTCCCTTTATAAAGATGGGCAGCTGCGGAAACACTACCTAGGATGCAGTCTGGCAGTGGGTTTGAGTTTTCGGTTTCTGGGAAGACATCGGAAGGATGTTCTGAAGAGAGGTTTCTGTTGAGCTGAGTGGTACAGGCTTGGCATTTTCTAAAAGCCTCTGTTGCTGTTGTGGTTTACATGATCTCCTAAAGGCAGCGCTGCATCTCGCTTTCAGATCTTGACCGAGCAGGTGTGCACTCAGGTTGTCCACAAACCCCACCCCGAGCCGGACTCCACCGTGAAAATTCAGAACCCAAGTGAGCAGAAGGGGCTGCTTTGAGCTGTGACTGGGAGGTGGGGTGGGACCCTGCCCTCAGCACCAGGGCCAGGCGCACAGTGGGACCACGTGGTGACCGGGAGGTGGGATGGGAAACCCCAGCACCAGGACCGGGCGCGCAACAGGGCAGCAGAGAGCAATGGCCAAGTGGACAACCTTCAGGCCTGGCCTCTGACCCCCGCACAGTGATCCTGAAGGTGGTGGCTACACTGCTGAAGAACTCGGCCCCCAGTGCGGAGCTGATGGAGGTGCGCAGGCTGTTCCTGTCCGACATGATCAAGCTCTTCAGTAACAGCCGGGAGAACCGACGGTAGGCCCCCAGCTTCCCCCAGGGAGCTATCCCAACAGCGAGCTCCCCCTCCACAAGGACCACCAGGGAGCCCTCCCCCCTCCCCCCCAGGGAGCTTTCAGCCACTGTCCTTACATGCTGGTCCATGTCCCAAGGACACAGCTCCAAGCTCTCTACCCTATGGGAAATGCTCATTCATGTGATCTCTATTCAGAATAAACCCAAACCAAACCCACTGCTGGGGAGCAGACCCCAATTCACAGTGAGTCTGGGTAGGGCTGTTTGAGACTATCAGTCTTTACCAGAGCAGAGAGCTTCATCTTTCCCCATCAGAGCCACTGGTGGGTTTGAACCCCTGATGCTGTGGCAAGCATCCCGATGCTCCTGCCCAGTGTTCCATTGTATTTCCACTTCCTTTTATGTGATTTTCTTATTAAAGAACCCTCATAGTGTAGTGGCTAAGCACCCAGTGCTTCATCAAAAGCCGGCAGTTCAAAGCGACCCAAAAGCTCTGCAGGAGAAAGCCCTGGCCACTGTGCCTGTAAAATTGGCTGCCAGGGCCACCCCTGGGGTGCCTCTGCTCTGTCACGCTGTGGCTGGAATGCACTCAGCTGCCCCACAGGGACAGTGGGGGGTCGTGTGTGGTGGACTCTGGGGTGTACTTGTGTACATCCTCATTGACACCTCAGGACAATGTACACTTACTGCAGAAAGTTGGTGGCAAGGCTGCACGGCCTCGGTTCCATTTTCCCAAGAATGTTTTGAAGCCCCCAGCAGTGTCTGCCTGACTGCGCCCTCAGATGCTGACTGTAGGTGGCTCCACACTCTTACTGGTCACTCGCTGCCCTTGCCCAGTGTCCCCAAGGCCACGTGGCCGCTCTCACCTGTGCCTGACACTGGCTGTGTGCATTGAGGCGGAGGAGCCATCTTGGCTCCCAGCCAAAATGCATTCACTCAGATGGGAGAGGCCACTGAGCACAGTGAGCCCCCAGCAGGTGTGGTGTGGCCAGCGCAGTCAGAGGGACATTGCTCAGTCTGACTGTGAGACAGGGCAGGGGTGTGCAGGAAGAGTGTGGGCAGGCAAGCCCTCGGGGACCCTTGCTCTGCCCAGGCCAGGTAGTCAAGATGCCACTGCTGTCTATGTGCTCTGTGTGCTCTGCCCGTCCTGCCCACAGGTGCTTGCTGCAGTGCTCTGTGTGGCAGGACTGGATGTTCTCCCTGGGCTACATCAACCCAAAGAACTCGGAGGAGCAGAAGGTCACTGAGATGGTCTACAATATCTTCCGCATCCTGCTGTACCACGCCATCAAATATGAATGGGGTGGTTGGCGGGTCTGGGTGGACACACTCTCCATCGCCCATTCCAAGGTAACTGCTGGGGTCTAGCATGCACATAGAGACCGCCACCTTCCGGGCCCTCGTGTGCAGTGAGCAGGCGGCGGATCTCCCGTCCGTTCCTTCTGCTCTGCCTGCCTCTGAGGAGCCCCTGCACCAGGGCTTTTTTCCCACCCCACTCTAAGGGAGGCTGTGGGAGACAACCATGCTTCACTGCGGTCCAGATTGGCCATGTCTGCTGCTCCAAACGAGGCTGGCCTCAGTTGCTGTGAGAGTCATCCGTTTGAGACTTCTCATAACTGTGTGGAAATGGTGTTCGTGTCCAGGTGAAAGTGATTTCACTGGTACTTCTTGATTTCTCTGGCTGTAGATTTCAGCATAAAGTGCCCTGGTGGTGTGCATTGAAGAGCTGGGCTACTAATGGAAAGGTCAGCGGTTCCACCCCACTGGCTGCTCCGTGGGTGAAAGAGGAGGCTGTCTGTTTCTTACAGATGTGTGCCTTGCAAACCCCGTGGGGCAGCGCCCCTCCATGTGGCCAGTGTCAGAGCTGACTCCGTGTCGATGAGGGGTGGACTATGACATGGCTACCTCGCCAAGCTCTGCAGGAGGAAGGGGTTCTCGTAGTAGAATCATCCCCCAGAGGCTCCTGAATCCAAAGTGCTCTTACTCACTCAAACATAAGCCAATAATACATGTGCCCTTCATGAGGCGTTAGGAATTCTTAAAAAAATTTTTTTAGAGCTTTTGTTTCTGCTAGAAGTTCACACATTGCCATTGGGCGGTGCCTCACTTTCCTTGTTGCTCTGAGTCTAAGGGGATGGTTTTATAGGAAAAGACAGCGCACATGCTGGCACCCTGAGTGCACAGACCTGGGGACGTCCAGCCAGCCACTGGGATGAGGCCCCGCCATGGCGGGCAGCCTCAGATCTCTCCTGAGGGGCAGCGGTGCCCAGCAGGGAGCGGCACCATGCCTGTGGCACAGCCAGCATGAGCCAGGGCAGAGGAGCTGCAGTTAGTTAAGGCAGGCCTGCCCTGGGAGGTCTGTCCTGTTTCACCCTCGGCTGTGAATGCAGCCCTGGTGGTGTAGAGTTACACCTTGGGCTGCCATCCCCATGGTCGGCAGTTCAGAACCACCAGGAGCTACTCGGGAGAAAGATTTTCTATTCCTGTCAACACTTGTGGTCTCGGACACACAGAGGGGGTGCTGTGAGTCAGCAGTGCGAGGGAAGTACATTTAGAGTGTTTTGGTTTTAGGGGTGAGAGGTAGACCAGGTGTGTGAGCCCTGAAGGAATAGTGCTCTGCATGCCGTCAGTCACACTCTGCTGCTCGCTCACACTCGGGCCCTGTGGTGGGGCGGCACTTTCTGAGCTACAGCACAGCCTTGGGATAGTTGTGCTGTACGTTGGCCCAAGAGGGAACATTCCCAGGGAGGTCCCTCTTGGCCACCAAGCCTTTGCTGTCGGTGGGCATGCTGTGAGGCAGCGGTTTCTCCCCTCGTGGTCCCACAGGCCCCACGCCCCAGTCCGTACCCTCTTCTGCCCTCTGCTCTCAGGTCACCTACGAGGCCCACAAGGAGTACCTGGCCAAGATGTACGAGGAGTACCAGCGGCAGGAGGAGGAGAACATCAAGAAGGGGAAGAAGGGCAGCGTGAGCACCATCTCGGGTCTGTCCGCGCAGACCACGGGCACCAAGGGTGGCCTGGAGATCCGTGAGATCGAGGACCTCTCCCAGAGCCAGAGCCCCGAGAGCGAGACTGACTACCCTGTGGGCACGGACACCAGGGACCTGCTCTTGGCCACCAAGGGACCCGGAGACATGCTGGGGCCCCCAGAGAGGCCGGGAGGTGGCGTCCATGTGGAGGTACATGACCTGCTGGTGGACATCAAAGCAGAGAAGGTGGAAGCGACGGAAGTGAAGCTGGACGACATGGACCTGTCCCCAGAGACGCTGGTGGGCGGCGAGGACAGCGCCCTGGCTGAGGTGGAGTCGCTGCTGGACAACGTGTACAGCGCGGCTGTGGAGAAGCTGCAGGGCAATGTGGGCATGCTAAAGCCAAGCCAGGACAAGGACAACGGGCCACTGATCACACTGGCTGATGACAAGGATGACCTGTGTGGCAGCAGCACCCCAACCCCCACTGCCTTCCTCTTTGAGAAGATCCCCAAGCAGGACGAGAAGCTCCTCCCAGAACTTTCCAGCAACCACATTATTGCCAGCATTCAGGACCCACAGGTGCACCTGGGTGTCGGCGACGACCTGGGCTTGCTGGCCCACATGGCTGCCAGTGTGGACCTGACCTGTGCGTCCAGCATGATAGAGGACAAAGCCTTCAAGATTCACACGGCCTCCGAGGGTGTGGGTGGTGTGTCCGAAAGAGACCTGGCGCCACCGTCCTCCAAAGGGCTGGAGTATACTGAGGTGACCGCCACCGCTCCATGCTCAGAGCCTGCGGCGAGCAAGGCCGTGCCAAGTGTGGATGCAGGGAGTATCCTCTCAGACACTGAGAGGTCGGACGACGGCAGGGAGCCAGGGAAGGAGATCCGGAAGATCCAAACAACTGCCACAACCCAGGTGGGTGAGCTGTGTGTGCCCAGGTGTATGTGGGTCTCTCTCACATGCACACAC